TACCTAACCCTCCTGATCTACCCCTCCAGGCAGTCACCCGCCCTCTTGCTCAGCCCTGTCTGCCTTTTGGTATCAGCCCTGCCTCCACTGGCCTCACTTCTGTCCGTCTGGAGGTGGTGGTGGTGGGGGGTGTGTGGCAGACATGGATTTGTGGAGGCTCGAGGGAGTAAAGCAGGAGAGGCTTAGGGATTATATGGGAAGGAGGGCAGGGGTGCATCATTTAGCAATCCCATCGGACCAGCTTCTTCGCTGACCCCTGGGAGATGCAGAAAACTGATAAGATGTGGACAGCACACAGAAACCTTACATAAGGCTTCATAGGCAGGAAAGGGGAGTCGAATCACTCTGGGGAGCCAGGAGCTAACCACCACAGTTTTACTTACAAGAATGGCTCTGCCTTCTTGCCTCAAAGTCATCTAGGCATACTCTATTCAAAAGTAGACCCTCCCAGATCCACTCTCTGATCCAATGGCAAGCTGCCTATTAGATTGGGAAGAGAGCAGGAGGCGCTGGTAGGCCCAGAACAGCGTGTGACAGCGAAAGCCAGAATTTTTAAAAAGCTGCAGTGAGAGGTGGCCTCCAGGGCTTTGTGCTGAAGGCCCGGGTTCAAATCCTGATTCTGCTGCCACCAGCAGGGTCACACGGGTCGTGCTGGGTCACCACTTGCACAAATCACTTGGCTTTTCTGAATCCACGTTTTCAGTGCGTGAGAAGGGGTTTGTGTGAGTTATGAGGTAAGTCATTAGGCATACGCCACGGCCCGCTAGGGACTCAAAAAAGCTATGGCAGCGGACGCAAAACCCAAAACCGGTTATTGTGAGCGCGAGCAGTGCCGCCTCATGACGGCATCAGACGTTCACAACAAGGAGGCCAAGTTGGCAGTCTACTTGAAAGGGAGGAAAGCAAATACTAAAAGTAAGCATTTTCTGAACAAGAGGTTCAAGGTGGCTAAAATCCCATTTTATCCTTAAATATGAAACTCCTCAGCAAATTAAAAAAAAACGAAGAAGCGTTTCCTAGTTTCCCCTTTCCTGGGACATATAATCCAAGGAATTCTACACACCCTCCTGGTCTGCAGGCCGAATGATGCTGTGGTCCAACAGGGAGCCCCTCTGCCAAGGAGACCACTCACTACCAAGGGGGGAAGCAGCCCTCTGGCACAATGGCTAAGCGCTTGGCTGCCAATCAAAGGGTGAGCAGGCAGCAGGTCCGAATGCAGCCAGTAGCTTTTTTGGAAAAAGACCTGCCTCCGTTAGGGCTACAGCCTGGGCTGGCCTCGGAGGCAGGTCTTCTGACACGTAAGGGGTCTCTCTCAATGCATCAGAAGAGACTCTGAGGGAACACCCCCACCCAAAAGGCCCACTGCTCTTTCCCCTTTACCTAGATCGGCGAATTATTAAGGGAAGCACCTGCATTGCTGTCGAAGGCCAGGGAGCAGTCGGTGATCCATTAGTCAGTAACTATTTACTGAGGGAGCTCTGGTGGCATAGTGGCTGTGCCTTGGGCTGCAAGGCCAGCAGGTGGAAACCAGCAGCCACCCCTTGGGAGAAAGACAGGGCTTTCTACTCCGGTAAAGAGTTAGTGTCCGGAACTGGAAATCCAGGGAATCCAGGGCGGATAAGCCCTACAGGACCAGTGTTGTGAGTGGCAATACTGGGAGGGTAGAGGGAAAGTGGGTAGGAAAGAGGGAACCGATTACAAGGAACTATATGTGACCTCCTCCCTGGGGGACGGACAACAGAAAAGTGGGTGAAGGGAGATGTCGGACAGGGCAAGATATGACAAAATAACAATTTATAAACTATCAAGGGCTCATGAGGGAGGGGGGAGCAGGAAGGGAGGGGAAAACTGAGGACCTAATGCTGGGGGCTTAAGTCGAGAGGAAATGTTTTGAGAATGATGAGGGCAATGAATGTACAAATGCGCTGTACACAACTGATGTGTGTATAGATTGTGATAAGAGTTGTATGAGCCCCTAATAAAATGATTAAAAAGAAAACAAAAAGAGTTAGTGTCCATCTTGGAAACCCCCAGGGGCAGGTCTACCTGCCCTGGAGGGTGGCTGTGAGCTGGCACGGTCTCAATGGTGCTGGGTTTGTTTCCTGAGAGCCTACTCTGTTAGGCACTAAAGATCCAGGCGTAAACAAAACACACTTAAGACAGAAGGAAGCCAGGAGTCTGAAGCCCTGGGGTCTGCTGAGCAGGCAGCCCAGGGACTACTAGTTTGCCTATTAATACAAACATTTCGCCTGAAAATGCTTTTCATCTCAAGCCTCCAGTCACGCACATCTGCGTGAAGAAGTAGAAGGCGGATTTGATGGCGTGGGAGACTGGGGAGAGCAGTCACGCAGCCCTTTGGTGACAGAGTGCAGCTGAGACCGGAGCGAATGCGGAGTGGCGCTTCAAATCCCCCTGGCCTGAGGTTGGTACAGAACTAAAGATTCAATTCCACCCTCTCGGGCACGGCTGCTTGGGGACACAGTGCTCCTCGTGTGCTGCCACTTCCCCCGCTCCCACCATCAGCCCCCTCCGCCTCACACAGGGAGTGTGCTCTGTGGGGGCAGGCCTGGTTCTGCTGTGTTACACGCTCCATCCTTAGAACAGCACCAGGCACATGGTGGGTGTTGAGTTTGGTGAGTGAGCGAGTGAATGGAGGGGGCACTCAGACCTAAACTCAGCGGTCCTCCTCTGGCCCTGGGAGTGGAACTGTACTCCGTGGGGCCTTTCAGAAGCGGATTGCCAGGCCTTTCTTCCAAGGCACCCGGGTAGACTCAAACCTCCATCCTTTCAGTGATCAGGGTGCATGTTCACCGCCTGTACCACCCAGGGGTGCCTCACTATCTTGGCGGCTATCAGTAACACCCAGTGATTCCTGAGGCGTCAGCTTCGACACGTTCTCCTTCCCCAGGGGAACTGCACTCCCCTCTTGCTTTAGATCAGTCGCCAACAACTCCACTCACGGCCGCTGCATTGATTCTGGCTCATGGCGACCTTACAGGACAGAGTAGAACTGGCCCTGTGGGTTTCTGAGACTAGCTCTCTACTTGAGTCAAGGCCCGTCTGGCTCCCAAGGTGAACAGCCCAACGTGGAACTCTGACACCACCAGGTCATTCTCTTATGCTTGGGGATCTGGGGGAGTAGGTTCTTCATCTATCCCTAGCTCCTGATGAGCGTAAGTCTGCCTCTCGTCAGACAACGTTCCAGTCTTCAGCTGGATGGTTCTTTATAAAACATAAACCAGATCACCACCTCCTGATCCTGTTTCCCCACACCTCCCTAACTTCTGGGGACGGTCACCAAGTCCCACGCAAATTGATGCCAGGAAGACTGTCCAGCCCAGCACTCTTCCCTGGCATCACACCAGCCCGCTGCAGTACCCGGCCTCTTGGTGGCTGAGTAATTGGATGAACTGAATTCCCACTGCAGCTGGAATGCACCCCATCGCTCGGTAGGTAGGGCTGGCTCTATAGGAGGGGAGATGATGAGGCAGGCAGATGAGCTTCTGTGCCCTGACAAGTTGAGGAGCCCCCTCTCTTCCAGTAGAACCTCCTAGGGTGAAATGTGAGCCCCTCTGCCCCCCGACTATTGGGTTATAGAGTCAGTCAGGGCTATTCAGCCAGGCTTGACACACAGCACTGCTCTGCCAGCTAGCAGGAGCCCGGGCATCCCAGAGGCACGTGCCCCCTTCAATTGCATGGTATAGGGACCATAGGAAGCCTGGGCCCTGTGGCAGGAGGATAGCGCAGGCTCCCAGCAGGTGTGTGAATGACACTGGCTTTTCTGCTTTGGGGGCAACTTGCTCTGTCACCACCTTCCTCCTAATCCAGCTGCTTTCTTCCGCAGCAGTGGCTCCCCACCCACCCTCTCTGAGCTGCTGCCCAGCACTGGGCCAGCCAACAGACCCTGACCCAAAGCTCCCAAAGAGCCAAGGTCCAGCCTGGGGGTGGCTGCCCATCCAATGGCAGGGGCCTGGGGATGCCTTTTGGAAGTGGGGGAGAGGAGACCGGCAGGGAGTAGCGCCTTCCTGCGTGCAAGGAGCAGAAGAGAGCAATTAGGTCTTAACAGCCACTTTGCATGAGAGAAGATAGATTTGTCCTTCTGATGTGTTGTTTCCATAGAAGCAGAGCTTAACCTTTCAAGTGAAGATTATAAAGCTGCCTAATTCATTTAAAATTAGGCTTCAAGCATATCAGTACTCACTACTCAAGGGTTGCTGGGAGACTTGCTACAGCCATTGATCTCCCTGCCAGCCAGGACCCGCAGTTTTCTGGGGCTCAAGACTCATTTGGCTAGCAATCGCGATGACTTACTTATATTTAAAGACAAACTCCATAAGGAGCTCTGGATTAATGCCACCAGGGCATTCATAAATACCTGCTAATTAAGGAATCGCCCTGACCGCTCCTCAGGAGGACTAGCACACAAGAAGACACGCGCTCAGTAAAAGTCATTTATTGTATTCTTCCGGCACGGGCATGAGGGGCACTTGGGCAGCGAGAGCACAACACAATGTTATACACCATTTCCACAACTAGCCTTTTTTTTAAAAGAACATAGTCATTTTAAAAAAATCTAAATATTTACACATTAGTAAAACATATATACAGATTGAGACCTTATCCATAGATATGGAATAACATTTTTCTTTTTGCTAAGAAGCCTATAAAAAGGGTTTCTGAACAGTAGTCACAGTAAGTAAACACAAATACAATTTCAATCGACAAAATCTGATTTCACCGTGCGGTGTTGTGACATGTGATTCTAATTGGTGGGTCCGTTGACGCATTTGAACGACCCCCTGCTCAAGTCCTGACAGATCTGAGTGGTGCCAGGCTGCGAGAGCAGTGGCTCTGAGGGTCCGGTCAGCCCGAGCGGAGCCCACAGTTCTGAGGTGAACGCGCCCACCTGCGCTAGCAACCCAGGCATCATCTCGGAATGGGGTGAAAGGTCACGCGTGAATCTTTTCTAGTCCCTTGAGAAAGGGTCCCTTCTGGGAGGCAGACGACACATTTCACAGCAGATTCTGCTGAAGACAGAAGCCCTGGTTGGCAGTACTGAAAGAGACTATGATGGACCAACGGGCTGGTTTCAGGAACAGGATTCGTTACTGGCCTGAAACTTACACGAACTCACTAAAAGGTGTGATGGCAACCACTCCTCTAAACCGTCCTGTCCCTTGAAAACAACGGACAGAGATACACGGAGATGAGATGCACCTGGCTAGCAGTTAGATTCATCCCAGGAGCTACATGCAAACCAGTTCTGTCATGTGGCAGGATGGCCTCTTCCACCATGGTCGGCCCTCCGTGGATCACTAATTGATCCCAGAGCTCCCCACCCAACTCTCAGTTTACATTGTCAGAGGCCACGGCTACAGAAGGGCTAACGGCTCTGGACACCCACTTGGACCACTTCCTCCACTGGGTCCTCATCTGCGAGGTGAGGGGCTGAACTCGAGGGTGCCAACCAGAGTGCTTCACTCCACAGTCCACAAGGTGACACAGAGAAGGTGGGAGTTGATACCCTAGCCACCTCGTGGGACTTGGTGGCACCTTCTAGTCCAAACGTCCTTCATGGCCATTGGCAGCCTTGGGGTCAAGTGCCAGAGATCCAAGGGAATCTCCCTTATCCAATCAGCAAGGTGTAAATGCAATGTTTCGAAACAAAATGGCCTTTTAAATTCACTCTCAAACTAGAGAGCCACGCGTGAAGGTAAATCCTCCTGTCACACCAATGCCCACATGGCAATATAACTTTCAAAGTTCAGAATTTGATGTATTGGTTTTATATTAAGTGGAGGGCCAAGGGACTGTAAAGCAAGTGGAGTACAGAGTATGCACTAAGTGCCCGTGGGGCTGGCCTGGGCCATGGAAACACACCGGCCAGCAGCTCCGGGAAGCCATCTGCTGCCCAGTCGTCAGGCATCAGGCAGAGCGAGAACTGATTGCTTTGAGCTCCGCACCTTGTAATTAGTTATTGTGTCACTGCGTGGACACAACCCAGGTTTACAAATAAGCGAAAGCTTTTTCTTTCCTAAGACTTCCTCTGGCATGCGCACTTACTCAGCCATAAGAGATTACGTTTGGGGATCGGACGGCGTTGTTTTCATCTAATAGATCAGAGCAAACCTGTCTCCCAAAACAAAATTTCTCATCTTTGAGATGGATGAAGGTCTAATTAATTTTGGCCTTCACAACGGCTCGCTCAGTATTGGGAAACACCACTCTCCTTAATACTGCACCTAAGCAATTTACAGGAAAATAAATATACTTCAAAACTTTATATATTCACATTGAGGTTATGAAGAAACACAGAGACATTATAATGGACAATGAGCTAATTGGATCATACACTGGACTTTTAAAAGGATAATAAATCAACTCTAAAAATGATTTTAAAATCTCATGCCAAATTGGAGGCTTGATTATCACATATTACTGAGAAAGTACAGTATACGAAAATGCTTCAAACATGAGGGGTAAACGTCACAGAACACCCACACTTTGCAGTGACCTGAAATGCTTCCGTGGCTCTTTGAGGAAATTCGAACGGAAGAGTTAGGGATGCTAATGAGCAGTGTCACTCAGAGACAAGTCTAGAGAGTGAAATCTGCTTCTGTGTCTTCCATGTTTTCGGTACTGGTGTCCAATACGTTGCCTACAACAGAGACAGAACAATGAAGTGGGAGAAACAGTTTCTCTGGCATCTACTTTTCTAGACCATGGTTAGAGATAAGCATTCTAGATGAGAGTGAAAAACTTATTGAGTTATCTGTGTTCCATATTTTAGCTACTGTTTTTTCCCCCAAACCTTCCAAAAACACTCGACCTCACTGCCATCGAGTCCACTCTGCCTCGTGGCCACACAACAAGGTGGACCTGCCCTGTGGTTTTCCGGGGAAAACCTCGTCTTTCCCTCGAGTAGCCGCTGGTGGCTTTGAACTGCTGCTCTTGTGGTTAGTTGCTAAACAAGCCATTTCAGGAATCATAAACTTGACTATTTTTACAGGAAAACCCATGACCAAATACCAGCGTATATTTGGGGGTTTTAAAAAAAACCATGGAAAAATGGAATCACAGTCCAGCAGATCTTTCCATGAGCTCCCCCCCTCCCTTCATGTGCAGAGTAAAACACAGCGTAGGGAAAGGCGGAACACAGCTGCACAGTCAAAACAGTGACGGTCTCCCGGTGCACCCTGAGCTTTCTGAAGCCCCCTCACATTGTTCAGGGACAGGAACGTTAAACAGAATAGGATTTGCCTGGGAAAGAGATTATCGTGTAGCTATTAAAATAATGCTAAGGAGAATTTATAATTAAATGGGGAAGAGCTTGTAAAGTTACAACCACAATGAAAAAAAACACCAAAAAACCCCAGGCAACAATTTCATACGTCTTTGACCTGTATTATATAAATAAACCAAGTAATTATAGAGTGAGATCAAGGGGAGAAAACATAAGAGTGGTTCTCAACCTTCCTAATGCTGCGACCCTTTCATACAGTTCCTCATGTGGTGGTGACCCCCCCCAACCATAAAATTATTGTCGTTGCTACTTCATCACTGTCATTTTGCTACTGTTACGAAGAGGAGCAACCCCTGTGAAAGGGTCGTTTGACCCCTCAAAGGGGTCGCGACCCACAGGTTGAGAATCACTGCAATATGGGTTGTCTCTGGGTGGAGGACTGAAATTTCTTAACACCTTTCTTTTCTTTTGTAAAATAGTATTTCATCTATTTCCCAGTGAAAGTTTATAGGACGCATTTGGTTCCCAAATGACAGGCTGTCTTCACTGTCAGTCTCATTAGTCACGTTTATCCCTACGTGTCCACATTCTCTTTTGGTTGTTCCCTTTCCATTACTCTAGTTTCCCTGCCCACTATCTTTTCATCTTTGCTTTTGAGCAACTTGGCTCTTGGTCTCCCGTAGCTGGTTTTTAGGAAGCGCCATGTCTTATGGGTGTTGTTAGGGGCAGTCAAGGCGGCTGACTCACAGTGACTTAGGACGAGCAGTTCAATGAAAACACTGCTCGGTCCTGCATAACCCTCACAACTGCTAGGTTTGAGCCCCCTGCGGGAGCAGCTCCCTAAGGGCCCTCTTCTTTTCACGGCTCCTCTGGTTGACCAAGCATGATGTCCTTCTCAGGGACTGGTCTCTCCTGATAGACAACATGTCTGAAGTGCAGGAGGCAGTCTCACCGTCCTGGCACCGGCGGGCAGTCTGGCTGTGCAGGGCCGTAGGTCTCAGCGCTATCTGCGCTGTGTGTGCCGCCGGGCACCTCTGTGCTCTACTCCTCCGGTCCGTCTGGGGTATGGGCTCTGTCTCGTAAACACACCCTGTTCCCAAGTTTCGCATTGTTTTTCTACATGAGCAGGGCACTCTCCCAGCGTCTCTCGCATGGCTTCTCCCTGCGGTACCAGTGACAAGGCCTTCTTCGTACACCACCGCCTAGCAACAGTGACGACTCCTGCGAGTTGTTCAAGAAAGTCTTACCTACTCATGGGGGTGAGGGAAACTCACATTCATTTCCTTTAAAACAAGTATCAGGAAAAGGGGAGGAAGGGGGAACCAATCACAATGATCGACACATGACATCCCCTCTCCCTCCAGGGGGATGAACAACAGAAACCGTGGGAGAAGAGAGACAGTGGTCATTGTAGGACATGAAAATAATGATAATTAATCATTTATTAAGGGGTCACAAAGGTGGGGGAACAGGGAAGGAGGGAAAAAAGAGGAGCTGATACCAAGGGCTCAATAGAAAGTAAATGTTTAGAAAATAACGATGGCAACATATGCACAAATATGCTTGATACAATTGCTGTATGGATTGTTATAAGAGCTGTAAGAGCCCCCAATAAAGTGATCTTTTAATAAAAGAAATAAATAAAAATATCAGAAAACTAAAAACTTAAAGCCAACCTTGGAACCATTACATTGGCTTTGACTTTATACAGGGTTTCAGAGGCGTTGTCAATTGTTATGGGAGTAGACAGCCTCAACTGTCTCCCCTGAAATGAAAAGAATCATTTGACTGACTGTGATCTTGCACGGGTCAATGTTGGTTCACAGAAAGCATGAAGAATTCACTTCTGATGCCTGTACCACCCAGAACACATTCACATTTGTGTGTGTGTGTGTGTGTGTGTGTAGAGACAGACCATAAAAAGATAATAAAACTCAAAACCACGCGAAACCAAACTCACAGCCACAGAGTCAATTCTGACCCCTTGACCCTATAGGACAGGGAACTGCCCCTTTGGGTTTTTGTGGCTATAAATTTGTAGGGCAGGACAGCCTCATCTTTCTCCCAAAGAGTAGCTGGTGGATGGACTACTGACCTTGTGGTTAACAACACAACACGTTTAACCCACTACATCACTAGGACTCTGAAGTGCATCATGATAAACGGTGAAAATATGGAAGTTGTCAAGGATTTTGTCGTCCACAGTCAATGCTCATGGGAGCAGCAGTGGAGAGATAAGTAACACGGTGTACTGGGTAAACATGATGCACAAGACCTGTCTAAAGTGGGGAAGAGCAAGGATGTTACTTTGAGGACTCAGTTACAACTGACCTAAGCCAGGGTATTTTCAATTTCCTCATATACATGTGACCTCTGCACATTGAATAAGACCGAAAAAGAATTGATGGATTTGAACTATGGTGTTGGTGAAGAATATTCAAAGTATCATGGACTGCCAAAATAACAGACAAATCTGTCTTGGAAAAAGTATACTCAGAATGCTCCTTAGAGGCAAGGATGGCAAGACTTTGTTTCAGGTACTTTGGCCACGTTGTCAGGGGGGTCCAGTCTCTGGAGAAGGACATCATGCTTGGTAAAGTAGAGGGACAGCGAAAGGTAGAAAGACCTTCGACAAGATGGACTGGCAAAGTCGCTATAACAACGGGCCCAACCCATTGTGAACCACTGGGCTCAAACCATAAGAACCATTGTGAACCACTGGGCTCAAACCATAAGAACCATTGTGAAGGTGGTGCAGGCCCGGGTGGTGTTTCATTTGTTGTACACAAGGGTGTATGCTGGAACCGGCTCGATAGCACCAAACAACGACAATTAAAGGCCTGGATAAACAGAAGGGTTTGAACTCGGCGATCTCTAGAGCTCCTTCTCACACTCAGGGTCCTTGAATTCATTCCTTTCTGGTCCATGAGGCGCCATCATCCGCGGCGCTCAAGTTTCTTACCCGCGACAGCCCTCTGCCTCCACCTCCCCCCAGGACCACGCAAAGAGGGATGGAGTTTTTTGGCTCCCAGTTGGGTTTCCTGTAGTGGCTGGGCGTGGCCAGGGAGCGGAACAAGGCCAACAGGAGCCCTGGCTCATCACAGGACGGCAGACTGGACATAAGCCCTGGAGAGCATCTTTCCAGTCTCTGAATTTATTAAGCGGAACCTTGCCAACCAAGAAAAGGAATCCCTTTCCCTAATGAGGATGTATAGTAAAAACCTGATCTAAGCAGGCTCTCTGGGGGGGAGCTGGGGCTCATCCCCGTTATTAATCTGGCCACCAGTCTCGAGCATGGGCCCTCAGCGTCACGGAGCCAAGCAGCGCTCCCGCGGCTGTGCTGGCTTGTGAGCCGGGCTCTAAGCTGCCCGGCCTGCACCTGGGCGCTCTGCCTTCCCTCCACCTCAGAGCATGTACCCCACCTGCCCACCCGACCTAGCTGAGTTCCTTACACATTCGTCTTTGCGGGAATGAATTAAGGCCTATTTGGAGGAGAAAGCACCGAGTGTAATTTTCCACCCAGAAGCTGATTTGGGGGTGGGGGCAGTGGTGCGTGTCCTGACAGCAGCTGGTTTGATAGATGGCTCACCATGCCCAGTGCCCGCTCCCCAGAATCTCGGGCTTGAACCAATGCAGAGGCAGGAGGCCAGGGTGGGCAGTAACGGAGTCAGTAAAGTCTCAGTGGATGCACTCCAGAGTACACAGGAAAGGCTCCAAGGGAATGCTGGGTCGGGGTCTGGTGGTAGCGTTCGGAAAGCGCCAACAATGCCAGGGCACCAGGCTTAGTCAATCGCTCGGTGAAAGCCCCGAGTCAGAATCGGCTCAATGGCAAGTCTTTGGTTGGTTGGTTTGCTTTGTACTGAGTGCCCGGATCTGGCTCCTCAGGAGTGCCCGCTTCTCAAAAGACCTTTATGTGTGCGAGGGAGGACAGGGAGAGCATGAATTTGATCACAAATCTGTGGTCCTGACTCTAAAAAGTGTTGCCACTTTCTGTTAACACATGTTTTTAATGTGCGAAGGTTCTGGTAGGTCGTGATACTAAGTTCTTAGGACTTGCTCTTCTGGGGGGTTTTATCGCTAGGAAGCAGCAAGAGGAAAATGTGGCTTTTCATGTTCCCTGTGAAAAGTATCTCTGTGCCTCGGACAAGGAGGGCCCGAGTCCTCTGTGGAAGCCGTTTGCTCAAGCGTCTGCCCCTCCAGGGTTAACAACTTTTCCAATGCAAATATGTCTTTCCAATGGTATTTTCCAGCAGGTGATGAAAATGTAAATGTGTTTTACCTGCTGGTGGTAGAGGAACGCCGTCCAGTCTTTCATCACAGTCAGCTACCTCTGCTGGTTACAAACATAAAACACAAATCTCATTAGTTGCGGGAAGCACATCCATTTTATGGAGCACAGGAAGACAATTTAAAGTCCCAGTACCCAGGTGAGTTCCCAGCCTTCTTTTCCCTTTCCTGCCTCCGCGGGCTCCCAGTGCAGTCTAGTATTGTTATTTAAATAAAGTCTTCTGATCACCCACTTGGTTTCACTTCCTTTTCATGGGCCTTAATAAAGCCGAGCCCAGTCTGTTCCAGGATGCCCTGGGAAGGGACGGAGGTCAGTGAACTCCGGTTGCCGGCCCCAGGATCCCCAGGATCGTTCTGGGGAAATCATTCAGACCCAAGAGCGGCCAGTCGAGCATCCACTCCGTCAGAAAGAAAATCAACAGGCAGAATAAAACGTTTTCCAGTCTTCCTTTCTGTTTTAGGATGCAAACTTTGGTCCATATGTCCTTGCGAGTCCACGTTCCAATGTCCTCGAGAGTTTTCAACAAATCCTTTAGTCACAGAAAATCTGCTACAGGTGTGCCCCCCACCCCTAAAAAAAAAAAAGGTTGACCACCTGTCTCCTGAGAACGGATTGGCTCTCTGGGTATCTACTGAGTCACAGGTCGAACACCTCATTACAGCCACCGGGATCATTTTGGTAGTGCTCCGTCACAGGGCCAGTGGTCCCCATGGGAAGTTTTCCTGCTCCACAGCCTTCCCTGCTGACTCGGCATGCGCCCAGGCAACTTAGCTGGGGAGACCAAGCCCTTTGCACCCAGGTGGAACGCCTCATTGGTGGAATGCTTCAGAAAAAGGACTCCTCGGAGCCTGCTTTCTATTGTTGCGTCCAACCATCAGGGGTTAGATCAGGCTAGAAAAAGCCGGAGAGTCCACCTGTAGTTCATCCGCGCCCATCTGGGGAGAACTCGTTAGCCCGTCTGCTGACCTGCTAAATTCACTGTACCGAATACAAGGTGAAGAGGGAATATTCCAAGACCACTGGGGCTGGGATCAACTACAAAGCCCTCTTCTTTGATGTTATACAAGACTATTTAGTAACACAAATATTTATGTCAAATGATAAGCTACATGGTATGCTTATCATTTTTTAATTGTTCATCAAATAATCAGGAAGGACATACGGAAATGTTTATAGTGTTTCTTGGTGGCTGAAAGGTTTACCGGTACTTAAAATTTTATTCTTTGGGTTTAAAAAAACACTATTTTATTTTAAAATGATGAGCATATATTTATCTTTATATAGGGACGATTCTACTTTCTTTTAACTGGTTTGAGTAAATCTGAGGCTTTCTACTCCTGCAAAGAGTTTAGTCTTGGGAAAACATAGGGGAAGTCCTTCTACCCTGTGCTACAGGTGGGAACAGGGCAGGGGTGAGTTTGAGATGAACTATATAATAACATTCTCCCAGTGCCTGAGGATGACCAAGTTCTTTACTACTACTGACAACTGCCACCACACACAATCGTGCTTATCGTCTGCAAAGTTCCTCGTCGGCATTATGTCCTTTAGCCCTCAGAAAGCCCCACAAATTAGGCCTGTCAGCCCCATTTTCACAAACGAGGAAACTGAAGCAACGAAAGGTCATCCAAGACTACAGCATTAGTGGCAGTGCCAAGGATTTGAATTGCGCTAACAATGCCTAAGCTCCTGCACTTACTTTTGACCACTTTGCCAGGCACTGGTTAAGGGCCACACAGGCATTAACTCAAACCGCCACAGAGTCAGCTCTGACTCCTGGGGACCCTACAGGGCAGAGAAAACTGCTCCAAGAGGGTTTCTGAGACTGGAGTAGAATGTTTCCTCTTTCTCCCAGGAAGTGGCTGGTAATTTTGAACCGTCAGGCTTCAGGTTAGCAGTCAACCATATAACCAGCCACACCACCAAGTTAACCTTTAAGCAAATCTGATGGGAGTTCATGATCCCATTTCACAGGTGAGAACGGAAGCTCACGGGGATTATGGGACGTGATTAGAAGCACTCCTTTAACGAGCTGGGGTGGAAGAGCCAGATCTACCAAGGCACTCATGAAGCCTTGGTATTGCCTTTAATGACTACACCAGTGGGTCAGAGGCCACACCCGGGCCTGGGATAGCTCTGATCTCCACAGTTCAAATGCTTGAATTGTTTATGATGAGTCAACTTTTTATAGCTTCCAATTTGAGTTCGTTTTGTAATGTTCTATACTTTACACACACACACACACACACACACACACACACACACACGCTTCTCCTCATTTTGTTAAAACTCAAATCAGTTTTGAGTATAATCTGATCTTTCCCTTTTTGATTCAGTTATATTCAGCTTTAAAAATCCAAACCAAACCAGGCTTGTGCGATTATGCACCTTAGGAAGAACAAAGCATGTGCGACTGGGAAATACATACAGATATCTGTATGTAAAGCAATGTGTGCTAGTGGCGTGAGCAGGGTCTGAGTCCCATGGAGGAAGATCACTTGTTATTTAAATGCAATCATAACATCTGTCTGGAACAACGAGCTCGCTCGCCAGCCTTCTTCCCTGGTGACTGTCAAGTTGTGAACTTTGGGAAAGATTGAGCAAGCCCAATAAACATTTAATAGCAGGCACGGCTTTCCTCTTAGATTTAACACAAATCAAAACCTGGCTTCAGCTCTGAGGAAATAATCAAATGAAAATGATAAAAATCCACACCAGGAAAGGAACCATTGCAGTTAAAGAGAGAGGAGATAATGATTACATGTGATGAGAGCCCCGAATGAATTTCTGTTTGGATTAAGAGAACAACCTTTCAGGGCTGGTGTGGGCTTTCCTTTTTCTACGGGCAGCGCAGGCATCCCCGAGTGGTTAGCTCATTAGCTTGCCCAGTCAGAGTCTGTACAGAATCCCAGGAAGTGAGCCAAATATGATAAATGAAGCCGACGCTGTGGAATATCTACGGTGCACTGTTTACATGATCATTTAGACGGAAAATAATCAAGACAAAATGCCGGCGAGAAAGCACTGTTATTGACCCAGGCCTCTCCATCCCGAGCAGCGCTAAGAAGGAAAAGCAAGTGGCTCTAGTCTCAATTTACTAGGGTCCCACATCTGTGCCACTTGAGGAGAATGGAGTGTGACAGCTTTTGACAACACTAGGAGACAAAATCCATTTGGCCGAGCACTGATGACACGCTGTCATTTAGGCCTGGTGTTGTCTGTGTGGCAGGGTTAGCTTTGTCTCACAGCGGCCTTCTGCTTCTAGGATGCAGACAGAGCCCGCTATTGACGCAGGTGAGAGTTGTCAGGGTGCCGATCACAAATATGTACGTAGATCACAGACACCCAGTGGTCATAAGGGAAAAGATTCCGTGTGAAATATTAGGATGATGGTAGCTCACGGCCAGACGGCGTTCTGAGCAGGGCAGATGATGTCACAGGGAGGGCAGGCGGGGGCCCGGGGGTGGGGTGGAGGGGAGAGCATGCAGCCTGGGCCCAGCCTGCACCAGCAGGCAGAGGAGCACGGACAGTGAGCATCTGTTACACGAGGCGCTGAGACCAATGTGGAGGTGGGTGAGAAGTATGTCGCTGGCCAGTGTCATATTTGTGGGAAAGAAAAGCTGGGGTGTAAAGGGATGTTCCCTCTGAGGGAGAGAACAAGCTACGAAGTACACAGTATAGAGAAGCCACCAACATATACATGTGATTTGAATGGTCATGTGACCATTCCTGAGACCAGCCTTCTCCACAGTCTCCAAACTTCGGAGGACTTCAAGAGTTTCCCCCACAACTCAAACTGTCGGGTCCTTTCAAATCCCAAATCAAACTCTCTGCCATCCAGTCAGTTCCAACTCACGCTGACCCTGCAGGGCAGAGGGGACGAGCCCTGTGGGCTTCTGAGACTGTCCTCAGGATGGGAGTAGAAAGCCTCATCTCTCTCCACTCTCGAGTGGCTGGCGGTTTCAAACTGCTGACCTGGAGGTTAACAGCCCAATGCGTAACTCGTTAGACACTTTCAGTAACTGTCCTCAGCTGGACACGTGCTCTAGAAGCCCATGCCGCCTCTTCTTTTCTCTGCAGCACTTACAGTAAAATGAGTCGCGTCCCTATTCTGGATTTATACAACACTTTCCCCTTAAGCTCCCAAGGAGTCCCAAGGTTGTTCCCGTTTCCCGGTTTATTCTCACCACGGAGGAGGAAGAAACCAGGCACTCTTGTTATTCGTCTGCGGATTTTGATTGGAGGGCCCAGGAACTCAGTTTCCTGGGGCTCGGTGGAGCCAGGAGTTTGGGACTGGCGGTTCGCTGGCAGGTTGGTGGTTGGAATCACCCATCATTCCACGGTGGCAATCTGTTTCCAGAGAGATTCTAGTTGAGAAAATTCCCTGGAGCAGTTCCAGCCTGTGACATAGGGAGTCTCCGTGGGTTGGAGACAACCAGGCCGACCTCCGGTCACTCAGAAGTTGGAAAGGGTAGGTGGTTCTTGTGGACATCTTTGCGTTTCCTTTCAGCTGGGCGTCAGCTGCCGCAGAGTTGGCCCCAGCTGACAGGGACTCCGTGTGGCCATCGATGGAGCGTGGCCCGTCATTTCCATCCTTTGGCCTTTCACGAGCCGATATTTGGGAAGTGGATCCACAGGCCTTTCCTGCTAGGTCTTGCTAGTCCGGACACCCCAGGGATGCTTGCTCAACTTCATGGCAACACGCAAACCCCTGGCGAGAGCTGCGTGGCAGCTGTGTGTGGGCAGGAAGCGGGCATTCTCTGCATGGCAGCAAGGAGCCTGCCACTGAGTCACCCCGCCCCCTTCCTTTGGCATGACTGAGTATGACAAGCTTAGATATCCTCATTGTAACAAATCTTAGGTCTCTCTCAATCCTGAATCATATATTGATTATCTTGGTGTTTTCCATTCAACAATTTCCCCTAAAAACCAACGGATAAAGGGCAGCTTTTACAAACTCACAAAGAAAACCTTTGATTCTCTGTTAACATTTCTAACCAGGAGTCAAGCAGCTCAAGGTGGAATTTAGACGCACCAGACTAACTTCCTATGACTAGCGCAGACACCACTCAGGCTTACTACGTGACATCTGCCTTGGGACATAAAACTGGGGAGGCACAATGCCCCACGCGAGGCCAGCACTGAACCAGGGCACTCACTGTGCAGTTACTGGGCTCTTGTCTTTCATACACCGCTGTTCCATTGTGCATCATGTGTTTTCCTTTCACCCCAATCCCTTCCTGACCCGAGGGACTACAGCCATAAAGGGGGGCCTTTTGTAATGTAACTCAAGGATGAGGCATGAGACTTTTAGTTGTAGGAGACATGCCAGCAGGATCTTCACAGTCTAAAGACACGGCGGTTTCCACACGCCGCCCCCTCCACCCCCGAGACATTGTCATCGGAGAAGAGAAGAAACTGGACAGAGGACAGGGGAAGTGGAGATGGGGAGCATAGAAGGCAATGAGCGAAAGGATCTGAGCAGGAGGGTGAAGGGGACATTCTGGGAAAACTATGTGAGTGGCCATAGGTATACCAAGGTCGTAAGGACCTTGCTTCTGAGGTCAGAGCTCATGGACAATGAACAGAAAAAACTCCAGATCAATCTACCACCACCCAGGCGATTGCAACTGCTCCCTGGGGTTTCTGAGACCATGACTCTTTATGGAAGCAGAAAGCCTCCTCTTGCTCCCTCCGAGTAACTGGTGGGTTCAAACTGCTAGCCTTATGGTTAGCAGCTAGACTAGAGCTTCAAGGCTGAGCTCCCCATCAGCAGAAGGCTATGGATGACAATGAAAACCCGACATCCATTGGCAGAGTCCCCATGGAGATAAAGCCGCCACTGAATTCCTTCTGCGCATTAACCAAGAATATAGATAACCTTGCCCTTGGACAGGGTGCATTGGAAAATGAATGACATATATCCGTCCCTCTCCAGGCAGCCCAGGAAGGGGCAGTCTCTCTTAGGGGCTTGCCTGGATGTGTCCTTAATGGACAATTCTAGGGGGTCTACAGTTGTGAGTCATGCCCTATCAGTCATGCCCTGACTGCCTTGGTCAGAAGGCCCTGGACCAATCTGGTAAGCTCTTCTATATGACAGAATGTACGAGTCCCCATCACGGGCCTGTTCCTGCTTCTGTAGTCCCACCTGCAACTGTGATGTACTGATCTGCCACCCATCAGGAATTTGTGATGGTTTCTTTTGTTGCATGCCTTATTTAACTGGCGTGCTGACTCTGAAACCTTTGACCCCAGTATGACCTCGTTAATGGCCCCCCTCATCCTGGTGATGTGTCTGTGCCATTGTGTTCTGCCTTTGTCCCTTTTAACTTAATACATGTTCTCCTTCAATCATATTTGTGATCGGGGTCTCTTTGGAACCCTATAACACAGTCCAGTGTGTAACCAACTACATCCCTAGGGTCCCCTTTGAACAGTTAGGTCACTCTCACCTCTGTCGCAGGGCTCTGGATGAAACAAGGGCTTGTGCCTCCAATAAGTCATGTGACTGTGACTAACTAAACGATATAAGATCCTTCTGTCTTGTTCCTTCCTTTCTTGAATTCTTGATTGATTCACCGACAAGTATCTCTTGAGTGTCTACATGATGCCAGGTAGACGCCTGGGAGAGAAACATGACGGAGATGCAATCCTTGTTCTTGAGGATCTCACAGCCCGGGCAAGGACACCACTGGGTAATTATTGTGGCAGAAGACCCAACGCAGGGCCCACCTTTGAAAGGTCCAGATGAAAGTAACTCTTGAGGTGCTTCCTGAAGAAGTCCCAAGGGTTTCCAGGCCAAGGGAAAAACACCAGCGTGTGAGAGCAGCATTGTTCAGGAACAGGGAGAGGCCAGTGCAAACGAGGGAGCAGGAGGCCATAGCAAGTGAGGAGACTGCTAAGGACGGTGGGGCTAGACCAGGCAAGATGCTGCGCGACTTATGGGAGGAAGAAGCAGTACATGAAAGAGCTTTCAATGTGGGGGCAATCGGAAGCCAACACAAGTATTTCATCTGTGAGCTGGTATGGATCAAACTAAGAAGATAATCAGAGGCACAGTGACTGGAGGCTAGGGCTCCAGCACAGACAGACAGACAGGCCAGGGCTACACACTGGGCAGCGCAGGGTAAGAACAGTGCCCAGAATGGGAACGAGACGAAGACACCGAGTCTGAGGGATGAACGTGGGAAAGAAACGATGACGGAGATCAAAGGCATCCTCAGGGAGCATGAGGTTAAAAATGACAAGAGAGAATGAAGTCGCTGACATCACACAGAGGGAGAGCAGAATTCAAGGGAGAGGTCAAATAGGATTACTGAGACAGACGAGATCTGATATCAGGAGGCAGATGGAGGGAAGAGCTACATCGGAGAGTGACATCAGAGTGGGCAAAAGGAAATGGACTGAAAAGTGAGCTGCAGATGGGGAAGGAGGAGGCCCTTCCCAATGCTTTGGGAAGAAACTTGACCAACAATGTTAGGAGACAGGAGATGGTAGTGACTTCAAGAAATGGCAGAAAGAAGAGAATTGGGTTGGTTGCTTTGGGGTTGCAAACGGAGGGAGCTTTGGTCCTGAGGGTCTATCGAGGGCTTTATGGATCAGTGCTGTCTTGGTGGCAGTACTTACTAGGGGGTAAAATGACTCTCAAGACAACCCCACATGACAGGTATTAGCCACAGAATAAACATGCAGAACTCACGCAACATGCATTTGGAAAGTGGATTACTGCAGGTGCAGTTCGTCAAAATTTAACACTGTAACCATTTGACCTCTCTTTTGATCCATTTTAAATTTGTTCTAGTTTTTTTTAAAAATATTTGTTGTTTTCTTTTCTATTGAGGTTTTTATCTGTTTTCCTTTGTTGTTCCTGTTAGTTGTTTTTGAAAACTGTTTTTCTGCCCATGAAATCCAGGAGAGGTCAGTCTAGACACTTGGCCCTTGTGTAGATGAGGGCACTGTCAGCCCGTACCAGGAGGGCCCCAAACACAGTTCCCGGGAGCCCTTAGGGTGACCCTGCACAGGGTGGCCAGCAGAAGACACGCTACACATGGAGAAAGTTCATATACAAAGGGTCTGCTTAGATACACAGTCTGTGTTTTGCACCCCTGCTCCAATAAGCCTCCATCATATCCCCGAATTGGTAACATTTCAGCATCTAAAGGTCCACCTCCCCTAATGCTTATCACACTCCAGCACAGACGGTTTTTGCCAGACTATGTGTCTTGGGTTTGATATGAAGCTTTATTTAAAACAATATCAAGGGGTCTGTGGCCTCCTGGAGAGGATTATTCCTACATGATGGGCGAAAACTGACCTCCAAAGGCCTCTTTCTTGTAAACTGGCCCACTCTCCCTCTGTGGGAAGTGAGACTTCAGATCACGAAATCAAACTGGCCACAATTCAACTGGCGATGGGTTGCTTGATGTTCACTATTCGAGCAGAATCATGCTAGACATCCCCAAGCCCCAATTTAAAAAGACATACATATTTGATTTGCAGTCCCTTCCCACCTGTTTTTTTATGACGTTTCTAGTATGAGGATTGATGAGGTTTTTTATGTAGTAAACTAGTTCTTCTACAAAGTCAGAGGGACCCAAACAAAACACAAAGAACTAACAAAAACGAAATCATGTACAAGACTGATAAAACCATACGTGAGATTAGCAATCATTTTTTTGTTTGTACAGTTAAAGAGTAACGGTCTGACATTGTGATTTTCTTAAGGAGAATTTCACCATTCATTTGAGTAAGACTTTAAAGGATGAAACCATACATGTTACGTAGTGCTCCTCCTTTAAAAGACAACTCCCCCGCCAACCCCCCAAAACCCCCCAAACAAAACCAAAAACCCCACAAAATACCCCCGAGCGCAGTATTGCAGGAGGAGCTTCAAAACTGTGGTGGGAAAAGTCCCCGATCTCCCCGTTCCATTTCCCTGTGAACTTTTTGAAGCCCCCTCTCCTTCCCAAAGTTGAAGAGTTCCATCCTGTGCTCTGCACGGTCTTGCAGCCAGTCCTACCTGAGCCTCTTTTTAATCTTCTTCGGGCCAGTTTAATTTGATCCTGTAGAATCTGCACCCAGTCTCTTGGGCCAGGCAGTTTGTCCACGTGGTGAGCAGTACAGTACTTCTCTGTGAAGACTGAAAGAAAGCATGAAATGCGGTTTAGTCTTGGGCAAGCCCAAGAGGCAGACCTCACCTAGGGCTGGCTCTCAAGAAAGGGGGTGGGGCGGGGAAGAACATTTCTACAAGACTTCACTTATGCAGAGTTCTACCACATTCCTTTGGCAAAAATGGAGATCCGCAGGGCGCTGGCTACAATGTGAAGTGCTTCCGTGTGAACCTGGCCCTACATAGTACCAATGAGCTAGCGTGGAAAAGTTCTGCTGCTCCACACGGTCACGTGTGGATTGCTTACAGGCAGAGAGGAAAACACGCTCATGACCTTGGGGTTTCATGATCTCATGATCTCACCAAATGTCTGGAAAATGTCACCTTTTGTTATTAACTCAAAATTGCCCACAAGAAAGATATTCCTGTGGCGATTCCTACTCATGCAATCAGCACTCATAGACGCGCCTCCTTTCCTTCTTCTCCAAAGAACTGTAGATGTCGGAGTCCTGAGAGTTCCCATTCTACTTTGAGCCAACCCCTCGCACCTGGTACCCATTCTGAGAAAAGGAGCTACAGCGCGGAGGTCCGCCAACGATCTTCTTAAAGCGCTCAGTGTGTGACGGTGCAAAGAGGCACCGCTGTTGACACGCTGCGCGCTCCGTCCCAGCACTTCTAACTGCAGTCTTTTCAACGGAAGCCCCGTAAGGTCGAGACCTAGCAGACACTCGTACCATCCTGCTTCCTCAGTATTTAAATTATCGGCGAAGTTAATGTTTTAAACGGTTTCTTTCCCAAGGAAATGCAAAGCAAAATAGTGCCAAGAGCAACGGCAGAACGAGAAGATTTCTAGTGAATGGACAATAAACATCTTACTAAAATGAGAAGAGTCATTACACCAAGTATGGCAGGACGGGCTCAGGGCCTACCCGGTATAAAGAGCTCATCCAAAGCCAAGAGCGACTTCGAAAGTCTCCATGGACAAATGGATAACATATATTTGGTTAAAAAAATTAATTGGGAAGCCACAAAACCTGCAAAATAATTTATATCTACTAAGTTAGAAAAAAACGGTTAAAAAGCTAAGACTGAGATAGTATTGATAAAATTGTGGGGACTTCTCACACTCAAACACAATTGGCAAAAACTGGCAAAATCCTTTTGGGAAAGAAGGTTTTAAAAAATCAGAAACCCAAACTCAATGCCATCGGATAGCTCCTGACTCAGAGCAACCCTGTGGGCAGAGCAGAACAGCCCCTGTGGGTTTCCACGGCTGTAAGTCTTGACGGGAGCAGCAAGCCTCATGTTTCTCCCATGGAGTGGCTGGTGGCTTTGAACTGCTGACCTTGTGGGATTAGTAGCCCGATGTGTAACCACTACACCACCAGGGGTCCTTTAATAAGATAGAGTGAGAGCCGTAAAATTGTTGTATTCTTAGACCTAGTGGTTTTTCTTCTAGAAATGGAGCTTAAGGAAATTATTTGAAAGAAGCAATGGACATTATCTCTAAAACCACACACACGTCAATAATCTCAATGTGCACAAGGGAATGGCAGCAGTGGAGGGGAGAGACAGAGGCAAGGGGAAGTCTCTGGGAAGCCATCACAGTGTCCACACAAGCTCCTGGGCACAGAGCTGGCAGCTTCGTGGTGAATCATGCTGAAGAAGGGGGCATTTCATGAGATGAAAGGTAGGCTGTATTAAGTTTGGTGAGGACCCTCGCTGAATTTGGGGTGGCGATAGCTAACAGATGTTTAACTACGGGGGCCTGGAGACAGGGGACGGAAGGGTCAGAGCTGACGGCTGTTTCACAGAGGAGATAAATCAATGAGGAAAAAGCTGCTGAGAGAATACAGAGTGAAAAAAGCATGGAATCGTGGGAACACCAGTGTTTAAAAGGAGGCAACTGTGGTGGAGGAGTCCCTGGAGGATACCAGGACTGACTGGAAGAGGGGCCTGATGGAGGCCGACGGGTGGTCCTTGTAGAGTACAGAAGAGAGCATCAGTCTGCGATGGAATGTCCACAGGTGACCCTCTCCAGAAGAGGGAAGGCGAGAAGAGTTTCACTTCCACTAAGGGAGTGAGCAGCAGAGTCGCTCTGTGTGAGACTGCTATGCAGGGGTCAGTCCTATGTGGCTGAAATGGAGCCAAGAAAGAGAAAAGAGGGCTGCTGGGGTCTGGGGAGACTAGGGCATGGTTTACAGGCATGGGGAAGCAGCCAGTCCCGCGGCAGAATACAGGGTGCAGAATAAAAGGAGTTGGCAGCGAAACCAGAGTTGGCAGAGTTCCGAGGTGATGGGCTCTGCCCAAAACAGGAGGCACACTAGTCTCTGAAGGCAGAGAGAAGGCAAGGGCGGGGGTAGACTTAGAAATGTAGTCGTCCCTCCTGAGACCTCCATGAACTTGGGAGATGAAGGCAAGTGCTTGAAGTAAGGGCAGGGGACTGGTGAAGGTACACCCAGAATGCCTGGGATTGTCAGAGGAGAAGAGGATAAGAAGCAGGCCGAAGACAAGCTCACATATGTGTGGGGACACTACGTACAAGGGTCCACTGGTCCTTCCCAGTACTTTGAAGCATCTATTTTGCTGGAGATGTTGGGCGGCAGGACTAGTCCGGGGTTAGGATTATTGTACCAGACATGTTTGGTGGAAGGACAGCAGTATAAATCACTTGAAGATACTGGTGAAGATGAAACCAGGAAGTACCTCAATTTCCCGACCGGATGCAAATCTGGGAATGGAACCAGAGGCAGGCTAAAAATCTTGGGAGAAATCTGTAGCGACCAGAGAATGGAGGTATCTATGGGGTTGTAAGCAGGTGTGGTGGGAGTGAGGGCAGGAGAGCCAGAAGCACAATTCCACGCAGGTAAGAATGGGTGATGGAGGCTCAGCACCTGAGCTGTTCTGTGCGAGAATGCTAAGCAGTGGTGAGTAACGTGCGGCTGAGATGGAGCGGAGGCAAGCATCACTGCAGATGAGGCCCAGGAAGTACGTGGGTGGGGAGTCAGGCGACTCTTTCATGGACAGTGTGGGCCTCCTCGATGGTAACAGCATCTGGGACCAAGAAGGTGGCGTGTCAGGGAGAACGTGGCAAAGCGATGATCAGAGCCTTGCCGGACATGCCCCAGCCCATCCCCACCTGAGCAGCGGAGGAGTGATGAGTGGGAAGCAGAACTAAGGACCGGGGAGACATCAGCCGAGCTCTGCAGGCCATGGAAACTCAAGCAGTGTCCACTTCAGAGAGCTGTGCAGAAAACTCTTCTGGGAAGAGGTGTGTTTTTAAGTCACCCATACTGGGGTCTTCACGTAGTTTATCTCCCTCCAAGCACGTGCTACAGTGCCTTAAGATCTCAATAAGCATCGATGAATAAACATCTTCCCATTGTTTCTAATGATTGCAAATATAATAGATCACAAATTTAGACTCATGGGGTAGGAGGGTGAGAAGGCCTAGGTGAATTAGCAGGAAGCCCTAATTAATAGCGTATTTAAAGGAACCCGGTTTTATTACAGTTAACTGCCCACAACATTATTTACTAATCAGAGATTTGCGGAAAAAAAAAAAAGGTTCTTAAGGCCCTGGTTTAATGAATAGACAAAAATATTTGTACTTAGCGCCTTTTTGGGGCATGTGAAAATGCATACTCCAAAATGAATCCACTTGTCTGATCAGGTAAACCGCCCCCCCCCCACTATATTGTTCACACAATTAATTTCCATAGCAACCACTCTTTTCTTAGATTGTGACTGCGTGCGTCCAAATTACCACACGTCAGAAATGAGTGGCTCCAAATTAAAGAAGTAGATGTGGACAGCGCTGACATCACCATGATTCTCGGCAGCCATCTGCGTGCCAGAGCCGTTGTTGAGGAGACAGAGGGAAGGGGACGGCTGTGGGGTGCTCCGCCCTCCCTTGAGGCCTCAGAGCAGGCCTTTCTCACTGAATGGGACCTGGAGGTCCAACACTTTGTCACTCACTAAAATGGTAACCATTCCTGGTTGTCGGGACAGCGATTATTATTATTTTGCTCTTTTCAGAGACAATGTATTTTGGTTTCTGTACTGACAAGTCAGGAAAACCTGTTTCCCCGGTCAGTGTCTGAGACCTTTGAAGGCACAGCAGTAGGCTTCTTGACAAATTCAGACACAAATATTTCCACCAGGCACATGACTGACATTCTACTGCAGTGAGTTACAGGCAAACTCAAAAGAGATTTTTAAGTAGAATTTACCTACTAACGACCAAATCCTATTCTCTCCATTGTATGCACAGAGGAGGCCTAAGCAAGGCTGAAAGATTGTCACTGTATTGATCTGGAAACACTCAGTATGCTAGGTGAAGAGGGGTATCGAGTAAGCAGAATATACTTTTGCTATCTGAATCTACAGCTAAAGGTCAAGCTATTATCCTGGTAACAGTTCTATTAGGAGTAATGATGTGAAAAGAGGTATACTGCATTAATGCACTGGGTCCCCACAATGTTAATAGTGGGTCATTAAGAATCACAGTAGAACCATTTGCATGCATCCTTAGATGTCCAACCTAAAAATAAATTTCCCTCCTTCCCTATTTCAATGTATTAAGGAGAAGTGAAGGCTAATTTTAAGCGAGTCTACACAATCTGAACAAGTGGAATAAGGCCAACGATTAAATGAAATAAAAATTAAAGCACCTACTTTGCCTCATATCACGTGAGATCCCAAGACACAAAGAAGGAACCCTGAAGCACGAGGCTGCTAACGGAGAGGAGGCTGGTGGTTCTAACCCACTAGCGGCTCTGGGGAGAAAACCGTGGCAGTCTGCTTCTGTCTTGGAAACCCTACGGGCCAGTTAGGTCCCTAGGAGTCAGGATCCACTCGATGGTAATGGGCGAAGGCACAAAAAGTAGTTAACTCCGCAGGGCAATGGGAAATTTTCAACTTGATCTGTACACAAGGAAAGACTTTTCCCAGGTGCTTGCGTTCATAAATAACGAATAAGCGCGTGGTGGCAGAGCAGATCCTTTGCAAGAAATGCAGCGTAGGCTCTA